ACAGAGAGAACACGTTAGAGGGAATCAGGAAGCAGAGAAAAGGTCACAAATAAGCACCTCAGGAACAATGAAAGCTTTTCTCTATGCAGCAGTGGGAGAGTTGGTAGAAAAACTGGAAAGGTATTAATCAGAAGTGGCTATAAATCCTCTGGAGTTTTGCTCTTATAAAACTCCTCAGAGAAAGTCTTGAAGGAAATGCAGGTCAAAGCCCAAAAAAGCTCTTGATCAGAGATTGCCGGAGGAAAATCTTCCCAGACGCCGTTTAATAGGCAGCAATCACCCCAGGAGTGGGGAAGCCAAGTACGCTTGAAACATGGTTGCAATTCCTAATAGGTCTTGTCACACTTAAGGCACTGCAAGCTCCATCCAACGAACAGCTGAAGCTAGCTGGTGATTCATAAAGCCAACAGTTTAAAGTTTATTATCATGAAAGCACTTAATGACAGCCATCGCTAGGGGCCCATCATTTATAAAGCTGTGCTGAGTATTAGACATGTAGCATGACCACCAATTTTATGTCACAATTGCTACCATAAAATGACCTTTGGTGATTTTTGCTGCATGTGGTGGACAGCTCTTCCTTCACATTAGTGCTCTGTGGCTTTCTTTGCAGACTATTATGCTGTCTAAAGCTTATTTGGCACTGTCGTGAGCCTCAACCCTGGTTATTACCCCGAAGGCCTGTCTTAAAAAAAAAAAAAATCTCGTGCTCGATTATGCCACTCCAATAATTTACAGTTCTTACCAGCCTTGGGCAGTGTAATATTTTAGTGCAAATATGCCTTACCATTGCAATGTATTAAAAAAAAGTTTTCTTGCTTCTGGTTAATGAAATATCTTATTAATGGGAGTTCACTGAAATATGCTTTTTATTCCCTGGTCAGATCTCACTGAATGGGCAGTTTCTTCTTGTCGGTTAAAATGTTGCCAGGAAGAGAAAAAAAAAGTTAATTAAACTTCCGGTGAGAAAAATTTTTGAAAAGATCCTACGTGTGATAGCAAAAGCACCAATTCTTATTTCCCTGCGTCCGGTCGCAATGCAAATTTACATCTGAGTAACATTATTTAATTAGGCTTCCATTTGTCAACCTGCTTTGTGTAGTTAGAGCGTGTTTGAATACACAGCCACTTTACTGCTCCAATGTAAAGCACTGCTGAGAAGGTGGCCTGTCCATGCTACACCACCTTTAAATTGTGTATATAATTTTATAAATGATATAAAATCTGCTTCTAGTCCCTGGGAAAAAAAATGCAAGCATGGCACACTGCAATTTTGGAAGGATTTAAAATATGTGATTTCTGCTGGTACCTACTGTATTGGGTTTTATATAAAGCTTTTTTCAATAAGGTAAATTGTTACATGACAAACTCATCTTCCACCATTATCATCTGCTGTTTGTGTTTAACAACAGGAGTCCCGCTCTAACAAAACTGTTGTAATGGCTGTACAAATTACTCAGCTGAAAGCTTTTCACCAAACAAAACAGTATTAATCAGCAGTTCTTATGAAGGTGCTAATTAAAAACAATTTTCTTCCTCAGTTTGCAATACTAAAGCCATCTTCACTTGCACAGTTTCCAATACACAGCTACTGTATTTGCTCACACTTCAGTCCCTCCATTAACTACTGAATCTCCTATTAGCCATTTTATTACATTTCGGTTTACAAGCTTGTTGACATTTTAAAAGTCACAGTATGATCTGTTTTATCTATTAAAAATATATTAATTGAAAAGTCAGGGAAACAAACAAAGAGGCAAAATATAGACTCCAAATGCACAGACTTCCAGGACTGAGAATATAGTGAACCTTCACCTACAGCCTGGGCAGCGGGCTCTCTGGGTATAAAGAAACCTGAGAATTAAAAGTGGTATTTTAGGCCTAATAGTTCAACACCAATAGGCTCCTTCCTAATTTGGAAATGGTCCAATCAGGAAAACATATTTGTTCTGTCTCAAGTTAGTATGACTTTCAAATCAGACTATGGCATATAACTCAGGGTAATTCTGATGTTTCACATTAGTCTGAAGTCAGGAAACTTTGATGGGAACAGGGAGTGGGGGCCTTGAATGGGGGAAATAGAGCTGTAATCTGGGGTTTAGCCAGTTTCACTGAGTGTGTGTGTGTGTGTGTGTGTGTGTGTGTGTGTGTGTGTGTGTGCTGTGTGAGCATGCATCTACATGTACTCTGACTCCCTTCCCATCGTGGACAGCCTGTCCCTCTCGCTCAGAGTCCAGTGAAAGGGTCACATCAGACAATGCCACCCAATTGTGCAGCATAGATTGGAAATGCTGAGTAAGCACAGAGAGAAAGTCTAAGGAAGCCATTCCATTCCTATTAAAACAAAATAAGAAACAAAAACAGCTAGCCCTTAGGAAGAAGATACGCCTCACTTTGGTAGTGGGTGAAGGGAAAAACAACCGCCACCTCCTGCCTATGGCATTAAACCAGGTTCTTCAACTGTCAAAAGCAGTTAACTAGTTTAGGACAGACACCTGGCTGTTGAAATAGGGCTCCAGAGGTCTGCTAATCCTTCCGTTCACTCAGTTAACTGCTGGATCCCCCAAATTGATTCAACAGGTATGCAGTGGTAAATTCAGCCCATATTGAAGCCAAAGGAAAAACCAGCAAGGGGCGGGCAGCTCTTCTCTGAAAACACCGGAGGAACCAGCCAGAAAAGCTTTTATGGCCCCGACAAGTTTTCTGCTGAATACTGAGCTCCTAAATTACCCTTCCCTAATGGAAGTTACATTTTCATGCTCAGTCAAAAAGCCAACAAAATACACAATTTATACAAAATAGCATCAACCTCTTAGGTAGTCTTTTCTAGCACTTTTATCCCAATTCGCAGCATATGTCTTGCTATAAAATAAAATATATTTCTTATAACCAACTTGTATGTAGCTGTTCAGATCACTGCATTAGAACTGCCCATGGGTGATATTAGAAACACTCTTACACCCAACCCAATCTACTTAGTGTGACAATGGAAAATGATGAATTTTATCAAAAGATAAAGGAATACAAAGAAGAGAAGCATCATAAAAACTCTTATGATTTCCTGGATTGACAGGCTTCCTTTTGAAACAATCACATGCATAATTACATGAACAATTACGGAATAGGCCACTTCAATTGCAATTAAATAACCCAATACCGATGTTTGGAAGTAACCAAAAGTCAAGTGGATAAACTTTCCAGAGTTGCCATATTTTCCCATTTTCACTATCTACATTCTGTTAAAATTTGAGGAAGTAAATAAAAATTATTCAATAGTAAAAGGTGTTAGTTTTTAAAAAATCTTTGCAAGACCCTGGAGATATTTCCAGGTGAGGCTCCCATTAGGGATAGGTCTATGAAACCCTTAACATTTGACAGGAGACTCCTTCAGTTTTAATCACATACATCAGGATATATATATTTTTAAATCAAGTATCTCTTGGTAAGGCTAGCTCAGTTCTGACCTACTATTCTCAAATATTTTTTAAATACATTAGTGGTTTATTTTTTTAAAGTATAATTTCCCCCAGAGAAATAAGCAGTAGGCATCTATATTCACAACACACAAATGCAAATTGAATTCTTGCAAATTCATATATTTCCATGAGAAAAAGAGGAAATGTTCTCATGGTCCTGCTGTTCTATACTTAAAAAGGAAAAAAGAATTGATCATCTTAGGTGTTACAACAGGGATGGGCTTTTTTTTTTTGGCAGATGTAGTTGCAGGTTTTACAGAAGAAATAATTTTTGCTGTATTTTGATCATTGTAAATGGAACCACTTGCACTGCCTCTTACAATATTCCAAATTCTAATTCTTTAACAAGAAAATATGAAGCCAGTGTGCAACCTATACAGTCGCCAAAGGAGAGCTGCCACTAGCTGAACTACTCAGCTAAATGGCTGGTTTGCATTGCCCTGGTCTTTATCTAGCACTGAGAATAGACTGCTGTTTTATCCAAAGAGGAATAAATTGCTGTTATTGTGATGTTAGCCCATCACTTGGCATTGCAATTCAAGTTTTTGTGAGAAAGAAATGTATGATCTAACTGCGACTTGACCTATGCCTTCTGAGATCCATCTAGGTGCTCTAATGGAGCAGAAAAAGTGGTGAATACAAGCACATGCAAACTGATGGCGAAAAATTTGTTCAGTGATAGAAGTGAGCAGAGAAGACATTTGAGAGTCCCTAACTTTATGACAGCTAAGTTTGTTTGACAAGCAAAAGATGCCGTCTCCCAGACCCCCCCCCCCCATCACTTTAATTGTATCACACAGAACACACACTTTGCCTCTACTAAAGATGCGAGGGCATACAGTTTCCCTACCTCATGACATTACTGCTGAAGTGGGCACACAGGATTCCTTACAGATAAACATCTGAATTTCCACAAAAGGCATTAGAGTATCTCAAAGATGCACCAGGCAGAATGGGTTGAGTTCCCTGCAGAAAAAGTATTCTGCTCCTAATCTTAGGTAGCACCTATTAAATGTTTACCATACACTCTAGTCAAAGCACCTAGCAATATATGCTTATTTTAAATCAGATAATGGTGTGACTGAGTTTTGTTTTGTTTTGTTTTTAAACTCCCTTGGTTGCAACCTAGTTTGTCAACCATTTATTTAAATTTTCTCTGGGAAGGACTTATTTTGAAAGAGGCCTGGAGAACAGCAGCAGTTAGATTTAAGCCCTCATAAAGGCTCACTTTTCATTCATAGTCAGAGCCTAAATGTGCTCTTCTTGTACCTAAACAGATAATAAGCACTCAGCACACTCCCCCTCCTTGACACAGCACACTGAGACTAATCACACATAATTGGAGAGGAGGAGCAGAGGGCTGGCCACGCTATTGTGTCCAGAGGACAAACGGTCAGTTTATGAGGCTGTGGTCTGATGTAGTCATTTCTTATACGTCTAGAGGGAAAAAACATCCTGTTTAAATGGGGGGAAAAATGAGAGAAAGAGAGACAGAAGAAGAGATGGCAGATTTAACACAGTTAATTGGAGGGAGTTCAGAAAGATAGACTTTATTATTATTTTTTTTAACCAGGAAAGAATCATATTATTTGCTGTGTTTACAGATTAAAAACTACCATCATCAAAACAGAACAAAGACCATTTTAAAAAACTGTGCGTGTATGTGAAACACAAAGAAGAATTTCTGTCTCAGAGGAAAAAATATTTAGGTTGGTCTCAAATCAATTCAAATCTCCAACGGGCTGCTTATACATATTTAAAGACAACAAGGGTTTGTTACAGAAATGCGACAAACAGACTAAAGGGAGGGTAGGGCTGGGTGACAATGGTTGGGGACAATGTAGAGGAGACAGTGGAGTCTGTAGCCCATACTTGGAATGTCACAAAGTGGGGTGGGGGGAGTCCTGAGGGGTTGAGAAGCTCAGGGAACCAATGGTTTGCTGCATATTATACTCACTACAGATATTTCTGTTGTTGTGGAAATATTCTGTGTGTTTGATGTTTTCTTCTTTGGGGACGCTTAATCTTCTAACCATTTTTAGTTAAAATAAGCATAAATGGGTAATGAAGGTTTTCTTCATATATATCCGAGCTTTCCTTTTTCAACTGAAAATAATAAAAGAATAAAAAAGGTTAGGAGACTCAGATTAGGAATATTTACAAGTCAATATTAATGCTGATTATAATGTGATGACTTTTCACCTGAATATATAGTTCTGGAAAAATTCATCACAAAAAAAGCAACTCAAAGCAGTTCTCAGTGGCATTGGGGCACACAACGAGATGGGACTCTTTTGTTTCATTTTAGATGAGGGCAGAGTGTCTTTTCATGAATACCTAAACTGCACGGTAATAGCAGGGAGCTTCCTCATCTTCCCCAGCCCTTCCAGGCAGGCACTGGGGATCCCCTAGGATCACTGTCTGGAGCCAACAGCAGCCCCAGGCACAGCGACAGGCGGAGGGAGCCTGAGGACTTTTCAAAGGCTCTCTTTAGGGTTTGATGTTAACAGAGAATAACTAAAAATTTCCTTTCTCTGAGGAGAACATATTCCAACAATTAGAGAGGCAACATTCAATACTGCTCAGGTGAAATGCTGAGACCTTCTTTTGATAAAATTTTAAAATCCAACCGGAATCCCCAAATCACTTTTTCCTCTTCATTTGGCTAGAATAATTTTGATAGTCATGTTTATATTTATTCTGGCAAGTAGTAATTTGCTATTTATAAAGACAATAGTTTTGAAGTAAGTGTTTTGAGTCAATTGTGAACTCAGTTTTTCATGCTATAAGGACACAAAACCAAATCTGTTATTATTTCAAAATTTGCCTACCCCACCTTAAAGCTACAGGAATTGCCTCGTGAGTTCTGGATTGGTCTGTCTAAGATATGTTAACCTGAATCTTTTCCAAGTGCATGTTTCTTCTACATCACATTCCCAAGCTGTTATATGTGCTCACTGTTAAGGACAGGAGCCAGGGGCTCACTTTTGCTTTCCACTAGGGTACAGGAAGCCAATCCAGTCTACTTTCTAATCCACTTTCCTAAGAACAGATGGTGGTGGTTCAATCACTCAAGTGACTTCATTCAGTTTCTTTGGTGGAGTCTGTTCTGTTCACAGATGATTAGTTGTCTATTTAGAAAGGTCCTTGTGGACTTTGTTGCCACCAAAATGTTGACAGTGTTAATCCTGAACACTGGTCCCTCTGCACTGCTCTTTAAAAATACGTATTTTTTTTTTTTTAATGCTGAGAAAAAGGCATCACAAATCTCCCAGTCCATGCCCATTCCGGGATCTACCAACCGTAAATACCTTTTTGCCAGTTGCCCTAGAAATACAGGCAACTTGTGGAAATATTTTATAGAAAGACGATGGGCAATCTAGCTAAATTCTTCCCTCAGGGATTGGGGATCAGGGAAAGTTGATTACTCAGCCTGAGTCAGCTGACCTGCCCACTCACAACACAGGAGTATACAGAAACCCAAATGAGCTCTTCCTAAAGTCCCTGAGGTAAGAGGTGGGATAAATAATTCTTTTGTAAATATAGGTTAGAAATCACTTTTAACTTGAATTCTATGCTGACCTCTGGAGGCCAAAGCAGAAGCTTGGTTGCTGGAAGGGGCCAGGGGCCAGCCCTGTCTCAACTGTGAGCTCTTCCTGCAATGGGGGGAGAACGGATGACCGTCCCTCAAAGGCAAGGCCATCACCCAGACCCACTCATCTTCAAATCAGGCAAGGCTGCTATGGGACAGGCTTGAACATACACCCATTTCAATGGTATATGAATTATTAAGAATAATTCCATTTGCCCAATTAATAATTATAAGAAATAAAACAATGCCTTGAAAAAAAAAACAAAAAGTGAGTTGTGAATAAAACAATTTTTCAATTTCATAGGTTAAACAAGGTCTTTGAGGACAGAACTAAATTACATAGCTGCTATTAGTAGCATTATGCTTTACTTCATAATTGGATGTAACACACTCAGCCTTAGTACGGCGGGAACAGCAGCGGCGGCAGTGGAGTTCAGACTGTTTACCCTTTACAGTATCCACAATTATCAACAGCACACCACACAGATTATAAGCACCAGCCACTTGTAATGTGGCATTTTGAATAGATAAGCAGGAGTGCAATATGGCCGTGCTTTTAACACAATGCACTGACTTCACAGTTGAGCTCAAGCCTATTTTCATGACGACGTAAAAAAATATGGAAAATAAACACTCTGATTGCTTCGCACATGTTAAAGAAAAAAATTTTTAAACCCCAAGCCATGGCCTATATGATTATACTTCAACAATATTTCCATGAATGAGAGTGTTTTCATCCACTCATTTCAAGCCAGCTGTAATCTCCAGGCGGTCTGTCCCTTGATAAAGCACTTGCTATCTTGACATCCGAAGGGTGAGCACAGTCCTAACATCCTAAGGGGCAGTAGTGCTTTGATTCCCAGCCTGGTGGCGACCAAGAGGCTGGGAAGGAGAGGGGAGGCTTTTATTTTTCTTCCTGTTGCCTGGACTAGCAGAAAGGCGATGTTTTAAAAACACACTACACCTTTGCCTGCCTGGTTCCGGGCCACGCTGGCTGCGTGGTGTGGGCACGGTTTAACAAAAGCACTGGCAGAAAAGTGCAGAATGGCACCGTTTTGATTACAGGCTTGCTTTTTAACGGAAATAAAATTTCACAGTTAACAATGAGAGGTGAAAAGTTTAAGAGGCAAAGCTGTTCCTCCTGATCACTGACTGTTAATCAGCTTCATGGGTGGTTGCCTAAATCTGTAGATTTTTTTTTTTTAAACCTTGCACTACTGCCAAGATTGTAACTAATTTTTTCCCCTGTTGTAAGAGGAGGGGGGAAAAACTCGGCGTAGAAGGCAGCTGTGTATGAGCGAGGTACTAATGCAGAGGGCAAAATTAAAATTCATGAATCTCTTCACAACCATTTGTGTAACAAGATTAAGACGGGACAGCGGAAAAGAGCGGCATTATCAGGCGTCTTACAGTCCTCCAGCTGGTTACGCTCTATTCCAACACAGTAGGGCTAAGAGGATAACACGCAGCCTGAAGGAAAGCGCTGTCCTCCATTGGGGAGCAGGCGCGTCCCGGGGACCACGGGCTTTGGCCAGAGATGGAGAGGAAGAAAGCGGATTGCCGCTCAAGATGGGAAACTTTTAAGCCCCGGCTATTAGCACGAGGCCAACAAAAGCCGCCAGGGTGGAGGTTCCCGGCAGCGGCAGCCGCGTGGCCCTTCCACATCCCGCGGCCCAGCGGCAGCGAGGAGGGGACAGGGGATCCCTGTCCCGCCCCTGCTAAAGGGCGCTGGGGCGCAGCAGCGCTCCCCACTACCTCCTTCTCGCAGCCTTGTCCCTTTTCTGGCAAAGGAGGCCAAGTCCAGTGCAAACAGGAGCTGGGTCGCTGGCGGTTGCTGAGCAATCAGCAGTTACCCTGCTGCTGGAGCGGGCATAAGAAGGGCTCCAGGTTCTCTGTGGTTAGAAGCAGGATGTCAGACCAGCTCAAATAGCCTTCATTGTTAAACATGTTTATTACGCTTATACCTTTTATCCAGGGCACCCCAACTCTGCAGAATAGTCCCCTAGGACTGTAGCTCCAGAGGGCAACATGCAAATGTCATCTCTCACAACAAGGAGTTTGGTTTTGTGGGACCCATCCGTCAGTCAGTAAACTGAATACTGTGTATGGTGCACGATATAAATATGAGGCATGTTCAGAGATTTATGGAGTATGCCATGCTTAACAGGTACTAGAAATAAAGAGGGGGCTGCCATCCACTAGGAACTGACATTCAAGTTCTAGACAAAGAAGAGGTGCGACCAAGGACTTGAATGTCTTGTGTGTCCCAGCACACTTGAGATCTTTGGAGGGAGGAGACAGAGAGTCTCAAGGACAATGCTGAACATCTTTGCTGGTAGAAAGAGCCACACTTTTGCTCTCCTGAGCTGTCACTGAGAAACTAAAAGCATTTGTTGTTTAGGGCACAAGTGAATGACATGACATTGAAGCAGCCATCACCGGATCCCTGTGGCTCCAGCCTGACCCTTCTCCCCTTGGCTGGAGAGACCCTTCCCTGGCAGGTAAAGAACTTAAAGCCATTCCTTTTGTTCTAGGCAAGGATCTTAAAAAGGGAAAATGCTATTCTGAAAAAGCAGATAAAAACTAAATAACATGCCCCCCAGTTTTTATTTTCTGTTTGTAAGCACTGGCCCAATTCCACTGGTAAAGGATGAGATTTAACTCTCAGGTTACAAATTGAGGAACTAAATGGAGCCCTAAGACACAAGGAAGTAAACCCTTGCCCAGAAAGTGAGAGTTTCCATTCTTTTGCTTGGAAAATCAGATCCATTTTGCATATAATTTTCAAAAACCAATATACTTGTACATCATATCATAGTCCTGGATAACAAAGAATGCTATTTACATTGTCCCAGGAGAAAATTAAGGTCAGGCTTTTACTTTTCTGCAGTCATAACTTGTGAAAGCATGACAAGTCAGAAGTCTCTTGCCAAGGTTAGCCTAGCTCAGCAAAGGGAGATTTCTGCACAAAACTACTGAAGCAATTTGTGTTTGACTAGTCTCTGTGACAAGTACTAGCAAACACAAAAATGCTAAAAAGTTTTTGTGGAACGTTTGACTTTCTGTGTCCTATATTGCCCTATACTCATAAATAATAAAAAGGCTGATAACAGTGCTTTATGTAAGCAGGCTTAGAAATCACTCTCAGATAAGTGCTTTTGACCTAAATCTTGTAGCGCCTCGATCTGACATATAACCCCACAACTGTGAAAGTCTGTATGAGATTTAACAGTCTCAAACTGCCAACTGACCCAGCTATAAAGCAAGCAGAGATACAGATTTATAGTCCAACATGATACAATTAGACATTCACCTTTTATTTATTTCAGTGCTGTTAAGCATTTAACCTACTTAAAAGCTGAAAGTTTTTCATTTAAATATAAATGTATGTTTATCATTTATTCTGTCCCACTTCTTGCGACTTACAAATTAGTCTATTATGAATGAAAAGATTAGTTTGTTTCAGAGAAAGGAGTAAACAGAAATGGTTTCTGTAAAATCCTTCCAGACATGCAAAGATAAAAGATGGCTTTGCCACACAAAATAATCAGATACAAATAGCTGTTCAGAAGAAACAAACCTAAGGAGTACTTTAATCAAATATTTAGGTTACCTGCCAAAAAGACCATGATCTCTTCAAAATGCAATGTGGATTAAAGTGTTATCTAACACAAGCAGAAAACTAACCTTGGAGTGGAAGTTTGAAATGTGTTCGTCATAATTTTCATGTTTTTGGATGGAGAAACCAGCTTTTTCAGCTAGATTGCAAAACTGGTTTAAAGTAGTCCCTCGGCGTGGGGCGAACACCATTGCTTTCCCCTGGAACATGAAAAAAAGAAATCGACACATTTTAAAACTGGGAGGCGACCAGACATAACACACATTGGCCTAAACACTTAGTGTACTACTCGAAGGAAGCCAAACTCAATTGTTCCGGGGACATCTACACAAGACGGGCATTTTCAGAACAATTTGAAGGATAGCTACACATCAACTTTATCTATCTATCTATCTATCTATCTATCTATCTATCTATCTATGTTATATTCAAATGGTCAGTTTCTGTGTTTCATTTCTTCTAGCACTGCATATTATAAACAAAATATGACTGAAAGCTGGTATTCTGAACAACAATACACACCAACTCAGGTCTAATGGTTTAAGCCACATAGACACTAGGGTTCAGGGCTGTCCCGCCCTCCTGTGACTTCCTTGCACCTGTCAATGTGGCCACAGCACTACGCTTGAGGATGTGGCAACAGATGCTATAAATGTTAGTTTAATATCCCTTGAAAACTCAGTACCAAGAAATCCTCCATAGAGACAAGTAACAGTGATGCCCAGTGGAGTTTTCACGCTTCAGTCCTGCCACCAGTGTTTTCTGGGACATGCCCCAACAACCTCCTCAGTTAGAGGTAATAGGATTTTGGCTTTCAGCTTCACGGATGACCTCAGAATGGTCATCACTGTACAAAAGTAGCTCCTCACTGTAATCAAATGAAAATGGCATAATGGATATCCACATGGCTTTTGTAAGTGAACATACAGTCTTGTGAGATTATTGCAGTGAGGAGGATCTAGAACTCATATGAAGTATATACTGGACTTCAGAAGGCCACCTGACACAAAACTCCACAGAGACCACTGGCCAACCATGGGATGCATGTGGGTTTTCCTTTCTGGTCCCAGATACATATAGAATGGCCATATTTCCCAATCTTATTTTATACTCCCCCCTCCCTTTTTTTTTAAAAGATGGCTGTATGCATCTGTTAATTCCAAGTTTATACTTCATATCTGTGAGATGCCACTTTGGATTCTGAGAGAATCCTAACAGCAGATCCCAGTTTCTTATGCTGGTAGTGTATCATTCACACCCACAGCTATGTAGTGAGCATCTGGAATGGGTCACTGCATACGGCATTTCTCTGAGTCGTCAAACAACCCCACATTGAAGGGATTCTCAAGTCCATTTACAGGAAACTGAGGAAGGTGGAGAACTGACCAAAGTGTGGTGACAGCCACCACTGCACTAGGTGCTTCCGCAGGCCCTCATTTAATCCCCGCGGTGATCTTCTCTGAACCTTGCTTGTGAATATCACATTTTGCAGGTAATTAGACAAACACTTAGAGTTTGAAGAACACAAGGAAGAATGATGTAGTCGAAGGGTCCTGGACTTAACGGGAGTCCCCGTCATTCAACAGCCATGTCCCTTCAGGACAATCAGAAACAAAATCATCAAATGGCTAAGCTAGAAAGGACCTGGTGATGGTGTGGTCCCAGCTCCCCATTTTGTATGCGAGAACCTTAAGTCATCCCGGCTGGCTGGCTGAGTTTTCTCATCTATTTGACAGGAGGAACAAAGCCTGCCCTGCCTTTTTTTTTTCTCCAGCAAGTTATGGGGATCAAGTGAGGTGGTGAATGTGAAAATAATTTGGAAAACAAGGTCATATAGATGTAAGACTGGAAATATCCATGCCACCCAAGAGTGCTTTAATTCTCTCACTTTTCTCCCCCTCCCCCCCTTCTTTCTCACTTACCTGCAAGAAAATACACTGTACATTGTCTCGGACATCAAGTGTGTTTTCATACTGTGTTTACATAGACACGTATACACACAGACACATAATTATAGCAGCACAAATCGTGTGACTATACTTAAGGTTCTGTCAGCTTTTCCAATATTAATTACTATTTTCAGGCAGTTTTCAAACTTAACAGCAAAAATTCATTTTCATATGAAACAAGATATAATAGATGGTCTCAGCAGGAGAGCAAAAGTCTCCATTTAAAAAAAAGGAGGGAATATGAGTAGACCACTTTCATCATTTCTAAGAACTGCTTGCCATTCTGGGTTTTTGAACAATGGAAGCTGCTCCACTTTAAAATCACCTGCAAAGATTGTCTTACACTTACAACTGAAGAGTTGATTTTCATACCTATCATCTAAGCTACACATCGCGAGGGGGCTTACCGGGCAGCACCCGCCAGCTTACAACTTGGGATGCCTGTCGGCTGCCTAAATAGCTCCTTCCTGACCAAGCTACCTACAGCAGAAGCCCTTCTCTCTCCCCTGGTCCTTTCCGCCCCTTCTCCTGGCTTTCTTCTTGTTCTTAGTGCTTATCTCCACTGGCACACGTCACATCCTGGCTTGTGACTGCCATCCCCTCCTGCTCTAAGGTATGCTGCATGACAACGGGACCCGCCGTGTTTTCTCCAAGCCTAGCATAGTAGGTTCTCAGTCAATACTGGTTGAGAGAATAAACTGAATCCAGAGGCTGAATAATCCAAAAACTCAAATCTTTGGGAATTCAAAGTCCGCATTGTATCACTTTTTTTTTTTTTTTAATCCGTACCGGGGATCGAACTCATGACCACACACTTGCAAGGCAGGCGCTTATGCCGCTGAGCTAAATCCCCAGCCCCTATCACTTATTCTTTTGAAAAGACTTTTGCCAAGATTTCACAGAGTCAACTTCTGCGGTGGGATTTCAGAGGGCAGCAGTCAGTGGCCCCTATTGTACCCACAAGTAAGAGAAACAACAAGCCTTAATTTTAATCTCTAGTTACTCTATTATGGGTATTGTTTGTAGTGTTCCTTTTTTCTGTTTTGTTGAATGCAGACACCTTTGATACAGCAATTAATACTTAGAAAGGAAAATAGTACATCATCCAGTCATTCAATAAATATCTACAGAGCCCTATGAAGTGTCAGCCTCTGCTCCATGCCTAATGGATGGTTTTAGAAGTATCCCCTTTCTGATCCCCAGGGGAGCAGGGCTTTCCATCAGTTGAACAGTAATAAGAGAAATAAGACTTATAGTTAGACTGCAAACAATCAAAACAAGAAAAAACATACAGATTTCACATTAGCCCATCACTTTAAAAAATTATTTTCAATTTTCAAAGCCCAACTTTCTAAGCATTCAGTCACAGAATCATCTTAAACTCAGAACGAACATGCAACTGAATGAAAAATTTTGACTGATGTGCAGAGATTTGGGGAAATTCACCTATCCCTGGAGAGAAGTTTCACCACACAACAATGATATTGTTTACACTTGTAGGCTTGGTTGATGTTATTTTGCTAGACTACTCTATACTCACATATTAAAGAGCATGTGCTTCTGGAAAAAAATAAGTGTTTCAGATTTAGTTTAAAAGGAATATGCTAGCTTGCTAGCTGGGGATTTAGCTTGGTGGCATAAGTGCCTGCCTGGCAAGTGCAAGGTCCTGCGTTTGATCCCCAGTACCAAAAAAAAAAAAAAGGAATATGCTATGCCAATTAAAGCCTTTATTTCTTTTTCATATCCTGACAACTAATTATTAAACACTGATTACATGTTTAAGCTTATTATTTTTATGATTTTTTAAACCTGATCTCTGAGATGCTGCCTCTACCTGCTTTCTCCCCTCCATCCGTCTCAGCTCTCTGAGTCTCCTTTCCTGGCTTCCCATCTCCCACCTGCCCCTTAACTGTCAGAAGTCCTCAGGGCTCTGCCTACTTCTTCTGCATGCTCTGTATGATTCTAGGCAATTGTACTGAATTCACAGGTTCACTATCAGTTATGCATCCCTAAACCCTCAAGTCTGTATCTCTAGCATTTGCCATGGTCCAGGACCAGCACCCATAGCTCCAAGTGTCCACTCATCACTGCATGTGAGAATTCTAAAAATACCTTTAACCCATTCTGTCTAAAATGGAATTCAATATTTTTGACCCTAACCCCTCATCATTCCCCAGTGTGCTACTAACCAAAAGCAACACACCCTCACCACAGATGAGGTATGATGAAACACAAGGTGTGTTTTTAAATTAAAAATATGTATTACAGCAAAAGACACATTGTCATAAGTCCCCTTAAAGTATCCTCTTTGCTTAAAGCACAATTATCCCATCTTTTTTATTAGTATGCTTTTGCAGTACATAATGACTATATTCCTCATTGATACATGTACATAACACATCTTAATTCTTTTTTCATCCTTCCTCTGCCCATTTCTTGTTGCCCTCCTTTTTTTTTTTAAAAAAAAAAAACTTTTTTATTTGAGAGAAAAAAAGACACAGAAAAGAAAAACAAAGCAAAAGAGATAAACAACAACAACAACAAACCCAATACAAACAGTGTAGGCTTACAAAATAACATGATAGGAATTTGACAATGGTTGTAATATTGCAAATTGTTACTTCAAAAGGGTTGCTTAGAATAACAGATATAGACATTTAAAATTGATCTAATCATATGAATATTAAGTTTTTTGCAATACATAATACAGTTAGTAGTACAGTCACAGCTATCTTACGTACATATACACATTTGTGTCTTTTCCTTTTCCCTTCTTTCCCCGACCCCACTTACTTTCCCTCTTTGAGCAGTTTCTTATCCTTACACAAATGTATTATAGATTTTAGATCACATATACTTTTTCAGCTTCTTACACTAGAGACAATACAGTATCTACACATGTGAGTTTGATTTCTTTCACTTAAGAGGATGGTCTCAAGTCACATCCGTTTACTTATAAGTGTCTCAATGCAATCTTTCTTTATACCTGAGTAGTACTCCATTGCATAAAATACCACATTTTTTTTTTTATCCATTCCTTGATTGATGGGCACTTGGATTATTTCCAAGATTTGGCTATTATGAAATGTGTTGCTATAAACATACATCACTGTGGTATGATGTTTTCATTCTGGGAAAATGCTCCAGAAGTGGGACAGCTGAGTCAAATGGAATCTAATCCTAGCTTTTTGAGGAATCTCCACACTGATTTCCACAGAGGCTGCACCAGCCTACACGTCTACCCACAGTGG